TCCACTGCCACTGGATCCACAAGACCTCCCCCTGAATGACTTGTCATCTTCCTGCATTCAGCATCATTATTGGTGCTGTGTGAGTCTGAAGGGGAATTTATAGATTGTATCAGACATATGGGCTAATATCGGAATTATGGACTTGATCTGGACTGGCTGGGATGTTTTCTCAATATTCAATTGCTCTTGTATATAAAGCACTTTCTTACACATGAGTGTCTGAATTTGTTTCTCTAGTCAACCCAAGCTAACACAAACTGTATAATATATGTATTATGTGACATTGAACAAGTTCTATAAACAATTTTTAATGAAAACCTAGTTTACAATGTAAACTGTCACTGAAAGCACATTAAATTTTTATTTTAAAAAACCAACAACCAAAAAACAGGTAGTGCTGCCACTGTGATTTTCCTAGACTTTTGACTCTTACAGGAGTATAAAGTCTCATCTTTCTCCCATAAACAAGGGGCACAGTTACAGGTACTTAACTCACTCAGTGCCATCTTGTTGATTCTTCCCCATAGCACCCCTGTAGGAAAGGATAGAACCGCCCTGTGGGTTTCCAAGACTGTAACTGTTTGTGGGAGTAGAAAGCCTGGTGTTCTTCCCTGGAGCAGCTAGTGATTCAAACTGCTGACCTTGCAGTTAGCAGCCAAATGCAGGGAAGGGCAAATGAACAAAAAGAGAATCAGAAATAACACCATGTCCATCACATGCATCTGTGATAAGAAGCACATGAACTATAGATATGCCCACCACATGGCCTGGATTATATATTAATATTCATTAGCAATCTAATGAATTACATTTTTAAAATCACATTATGATGACTCTCTGCTAGAACTGAACATGTTTACAAGTATCTTTGCACCCATCCATACCCCAACTGAAAAGAAAAAGGCAGGAAATAAAATCGGAGTCAATCTTTGTATTCACAAATATGAACAGAAAAGTTTTTGCCAACTATTATATTAGGACATAATCCAGACATCATACCAATCATAGTCCAGTCATATCAATAATGTCATACAATCACTACTGCAATCAGTTTCAAAATATTTTCTGCCTTTTTGTACTCCTTAATATTAGCTCTCCATTTCCCACTCACCCCCAACCTCCCCTGCCATAGCCCCCCAGAACCCTTCATCTAGTTAGTGTCCATGGATTCACCCAACCTGGATTTCATATACCAAAAATCATAGAAAAAGACATACCATAAAGTCAAGAAGGCTACCAACAATAACAAAATACAGAGAGAACCCCTAGTTTTGAAAACAAACAAAATATTTGTGATAGTTACAGTTTTTGTGGTAATATGGCACACATAAGAAGATATGGGTGGAGTGTAGCCTGTCAATCATGTCACAGCCTGATGGTACTTCCTTGTGGGCGTGGCCTTTTCATAAGGAGGATCCTGGGACTTCCCCTCTCTATGCCTTCACCTTCCTGTTGACACCAAGTGGAGACCTGCACATGCCCTGGAGATGCGCCCACTGCCATTGGAGCTACAAGATTTTGCACCCATGCGCCAGTGATGTTCCTGCATTCTGCATCATTGCATGTGGCTTTGTGAGTCTAAAGAGGGACTTAGGGACTAGTATTGCACTTAAGAACTAGAGTTGGACTCGGCTGGGATGATTTATTGATGCATAATAACTTCTTGATATAAAGGTCTCTCTTACACATGAGTGTCCTCAGATATGTTTCTCTAGTCTACCTGGCTTAACACAATATTGAAAACCAGATCAAGCTCAAAGTATAAGAACAGATCATTTTAAGAAAGA